AAAGAACCAGCGATGGATAAATAATATTACCGATGAGACTGATAGTAATTTAATAGGTAACTACAAAAATCTTTTTTAAAGTGTATAGTTCTAGTATTTTTTTGGCGCAATGACCTAAAGACAATATGGCACCTAAACTTTTTATGCAGACATGACATAATGAGCCTTAAACCAATATAAGGCGAAAGTTCTCTATCGAACACAGAACTCTCGAGAACCATTTATGTTATGCATTACAAACTATGTGCAACTGGATAATCGTAACGTGTTTATTGTTTAATTTGTTAAGCTACAAATTGATATATATAATAAATTAATAATATTTAATTCTTCAATTCACAGAAAAATATAAATTAAGTAAAAACGAAGAAGTGTTTCTGACAACTTTGCCGCCGCCAAAAGAAGATCCGACGAGTAAAATCCTGCTGTCGTTAAAAGGCACCTACCCAACGTCTTCGTGGAAACAATTCACAACATTATCAAGAAGATCATTTTTGGTAAGACGTAATAACTTAATTAAGTTACCAATTGTTTGATGGTTCTTAAGTTATTTTTATTTTGAAATTCTGTGTCGATTTATTCTGCTTTGAGTAAAAAAAAAAGTTAAAGCATGAAACAAAAAATGTATTTAATTTATTGTTTCATACTTTAACTTATCAACTACTAGATTTCACCCGCGATTCCGTCCGCGTAGATTAAAAAAAAAAAAAAATAAGTAGCCTATGTGTTCTTCCATCTCTACATCTTACCAAATTTTGTGACTGAATTGCCAAACAGTGGCATTTCAGTCACAAATAAAAATTAACGACACTACTCGTATTACTATCAAAATAATGACAAAGTATGGGCTTCTTGCAACAGCTATCGCTATAATTACTATTTTAAAACACATACTTCCAGTCGTACTGGCGCGACCCTCAGTTCACGCTGATGATCACCGGCATCCACTTCTTCATGGCGCTGTTCGTTGGTTTGTTGTTCTACAACATTGGCGGCGACGCGCGCTACATGCGGGACAACTACAACTTCCTCTACTTCAGCCTTATGTTCCTCATGTTCACAGCATTCAGTGCCGTCTCCATAAGATGTAAGTGTTTGGAAAATGACATATTGTAATTGGACTATACTGTGTACTTTATCATAATCTATACTTCGTATTATAAAGAGGAAAGGTTTGTATTTTTTAAGTACTCAAAGTGTACTGGGGCAATTAAAATGACATATAATATACGAGTGACATATGTAGGTCATTTTTAATACATTTTTTTAATCCCATGTGGACGAAGTTGTGTGAAGAAAGTGTATTTGTGATTTTGTAAATTTATAATTTTGTCTCTCCAACGATTCAACAGGCGTTTAAAAAAAAATGATTTATGGATTGTCTAGATTAATGAAGTAATATTAATTAGTTCCAGAGCAACTGCCTGTGGTACGGCGAGAGCACTTCAACCGTTGGTACGCGACGGGAGCGTACTACGCGTCCACTTTAGTCTCATCATTGCCCACGCAGACCATATGCACGCTTACCTTCGCCATCATCACGTACTGGCTGACAGACCAGCCGCAAGAGTACACGCGGTTCTTTAGCTACTGCTGTACTCTGCTCCTAGTCTCCTACACCGCGATCTGCATCGGACTCTTTAATGGATCTTTATTTAATGTTAAGGTTAGCACATTTTTTATCTGACGCTCTTTGTATAAGACTCTAAATCAGCAAAAACATTCCAGATGTGTTTCCAGTATGTTTCTGTACAATTTTTATTAACTATTACATAAAACGAATAAATAGTATTAAAGATTGAGATAGCGTTTTTATCGCATGAAAATATCTTAACAAATCGACTAAACTTGGACGCTATCTTTTACTTTAACTTAAACGATTGACTTTATTAGAATCCTGCCTTTATTTTTGTGCTTTAGTTTTGATTAACTGGCTTAAATAGCGTGTCATTTGTTTTGCAGAATGGAGTTGTTTTCGGGCCGTTCTTCATAATGCCATTCACGGTATTTTCCGGCTTCTTCCTGCGCTACAGCGACGCACCGTTCTTCTTCCAATGGATGTTCAACTTCTCCTTCCTAAAGCACGGCCTCGTCGGCTTGGTTATATCGATATACGGCATGAACCGGCCGAAACTGGTTTGTGATATACTTTACTGCCACTACACTTACCCTAGCCAGTTCCTGGAGGATAACGGAATGGCACATGAACAATACGGGTTCACGGTTATAGCTTTATTCTGTATAGCATTTGTATTCATATTTTTCTCATATATTGTTTTAAAAATTAGAATGAGAAGTAAATGGTGACCATCTGATAGATGGGTGTTCGGTCACTGTTAGTTGTAACAAATTCCATAACGTAAAATGATCTCTCGAAAAGGTTGGTAATACAAGTTTGTAATTTACAATTATTTAAAATGAGTTCCAATTTTTTGTGATGGATTGGGGATGGATTATTTAGATAGTTAGCATTTTTATGAAGACAATAAATATATTCCATTTTTTATAAATTCACCATTAAACAAATTAGTAGTCATGTTATGAATCATTGCCATAGTTTGACATTTTGTTGACATAATTTAAATATCTGTTGTAAATACTGCACTTGACCTTTATAATAAGCAATTATCACGAACAATATGTAAGATTGTGAATGACATACAACTCTGTATTTAGTATGGTCACAAATTTGTGCAAAATTTGTCCGATAGATGGCATAGCAGGGAATTCAAGATTTTTTTTAATTACCAGAGAAAAACTGTACTGTATTAAACTTTAAATTACATGGACTTAATACTCATCTATGAAAATGTCTGCGGTGGCGGGGTGAAGGACATATGTGTACGGGTAGTAGGTAACTGACATTGTGACTTTTGTGAATGGGATAAGCGGAAAATATTATCTTTGTGACACACCTATGTATTTATTGCAATTAATTTATTTATTGCAGTTTCTAGGATTTTTTGTAAAGCTATTTTTTCTGGTAATTAAAAAATAATCCTATATAATAACCAACATTTGAACAGAGCCTCACAGGCAATAATTATAATTTAATAGATATCAGACATTATAGCTAACTGACTTACATTAGGTGAATTCTCTAGTCTTAGACGGTTTATTTAACCTATGGGTATATTGTAAAATGATCATTTAAAGTTACAAATAAACGCTCAAAATGTCTTTAGTTACATCGTAATGTAAAACGTTTGAACCCATGACTATTATTTTATACTCGATTGATGTTGTTATTAATAAGAGAATGGCATTATTACAGAATCGTTAGATATATAAAAATACATAATTTAAACATAAAGCAACAATTTATAACTATTAAAAAAAAGATACAGAATCGTATCGAGTATGTGTAGAATATTTTTAGGTTATTCCATTATCATATATCTATGTTATTTTTTTGAGATATGTTTGTTTGCGAATACTTTAGTTTTATTTAATTTAAGGTATGGGTAATGGTTATTTACTTGTTTAAATGTTGTACATATTACTAAAGAGTCAATTAGCCAGTTATAATAGATATATATTTAAACATGTAACAATTAGTCATAGTATTTTAATTGTTGAAAATAGTTTCGACATTATGATATTTAAATGCAAGAGTACAATGTACTTAAGGCATTAAATCTGTGATTTAGAACAATTTAACGATACAATAATTGTAATATTGTTTAAGTGCAGTTAAGTCGGTGGAAAGAAGTTTATCAAAGTTTTCATGTACAATGTTGATTACATAAATTTGGAAAATATCAAATGATTACAGTTTTATAAATTATAAAGAAGTAATAAAGAAATACATTCCTGTATAAGATTTTTATTAAATCCCATACTTTTTTTCTTGATTTCTTTAATTTACACGCAGTAGTTAGTGTTCATAAAAAGAAACACGTAGTGTCTACGATAAACAAAGAAACTGTTAAATTAATTCTGATAATCATGTTAAATCGTTTTCAAATGTGATAATTTAAGGATTACATTAATTATAATCGGTTATCAATAATTTTATTAAAGATTTATGGGCAAAGTACATAGGTATATCGAAGTATTTTAGTCAAATAAAACATTATCGTATAAAGTTCTGTAAAAAAGGACAACCCAGAGACAAATATCTTATTCATAAGTTGCCATAAAGTAAACGAAAAAAAAATAATGCTAAAACAATTATCTCCTATGTCTGATAAAGATTATAAATATGTATTAAAGCACCGATATCTCACAGTAGATTAAATAAATATGAGTGAAAGCAACATTTCGAGCTCACAAGAACTTCTTACGTTTACTTAACATGGTCACTGACGCAGGGCAATTTTCCAATCACCGGTTGCTCCAATTGGCGTAGTTGTGTATAAACGCATTAGTGCAAGTGAACTGGTGTAAACTACAGTTGTATATTTAAAAATGAATCTAGAAATATGTAAAGACAATATAAGTGTCGAGGATACAGTTTTACTAGCGTTTACAGATGTTAGTTATTGTATTCCTAAGAGTTATTTGCGTAAGTGTATTTTATTTATATTAGATACTACAGACATGCAATTAAATAATATCATTAGTATATTTCTTTTGTATTATTAATACAAACATTCTGATAACACTTGCACAGATTAAAATTGTAATTAACAAGATGGCTAAACTTTTATCAAAAGATTGAGGTAGTGTCATGTGTCTTATCGCAGTTGTCGCTACGTGCCAGTTGATAGTAATTTAGAGGTAAATAGTATTTTTTTACAAGTAGAGAGGAGATGCAGTAAAGACTATTCTACTTTACCGTGTAATATTAAAACAATGCATATTGTCGGCTGCAGCAAAATTCAGTCATTGGCTCTACCAGCGTGGAAATTAAAAAAAACAACACAGCAATAAGTATTTATTCAAACTGCATTATATTAATGATATGATTAATCGTAAAAAGGACCTAAGTCAATGTCAATCACGGGCGTGGCTGCATTAATCTGTCCTTAATACGATAAGACAATCGCAATTAAGCTCAACCCACGACCTACACAAAAAGACATATAAACACTGTTAATGGTAAAAAGTAAAGAGTAGAAAGAAGGGATAAATTCTAAGGAGGATAGAATACGAAAAGGAAATATTCATTTCCATTTTATCCTCTCTTCTATACAACAAAAGCAATGCATCGGACGTGATGTTGCAGAGGTGTTTAGATGGTGTTCATTTAACATAAATACAAAAAAGAAAGTTTTTATTGAAGAAAAGAGAGTTATTTTGTATGTATTCTTTGAGTGATAAACTCGATATAGACAGCTAGAACTGGGAGTTTGTGACAGGCTTTACATAGACATATTTCAAGTTTGATGATAATGTTAAATATCACTTGTCATAATTTGCTTACTAATTTCAGAACTGGTTTCATAAGATTCAAGAATAATAATAAAATTGATTTAATCTCTATTTTTGTGCTTAATAATAACATTTGTAATTCTTTACTACCGGGAATTGATAAGTAAATAATAAATGAGAAAATAAAATATAACGCAGTTATAATTGCTAAACAATTTGTATATTAAAATGACATCAAATAGGTTAAGGATCCGTAGCATAGGAGAGGTCCGATAACATTTATATCTCTTGAATACGATGCCGTAGTATATATGAATGGATGTCGCAGTCGGCAAAGTTCATGCGGACCGAATAGTTGTGCGCTCGCGCATATTCGCGCGGAAATTCTGAAGATATCAAAGTTGCGAAGTGAATATAATGAGTAGTGAAGTGGAAAATGGAACCAACCTTAGTGTTGGAGATTATGTTGTGTTCACGGATATTACATACAAGATATCAGGTGAATAATACTTAGTTATATTTGAAATACGTAGAGAGAAAGTAAGAGCTATCAGTGCAAATATGCGATTATTGTCCTCATATACTTGTAATAATTTGCTTTGTTTATTATTTATTTATAAAGTACTGCACACTTCACATGTAAAGTAGTAATAATTACAATTAAAATAAAAAAGTTAAAGGGAAGTTAACATTAATTTTTGAAATAGTGAATAACTCGGCTATAGATGTAATAAATAACTGAATAAGAGGTATTTATTACAATTTATTTCGTGAACTAAATTAAAGTCTCAAAGAAAAACAAAACAATTTCGTGAGACGTGCTTAAACTTAAAAAACATTAATTACCTTAAGCGGATGAGTATGCTTAATTTTTTATTAGATACAGTACTAAATTTATTACTGCAATTTCAGCTTAAGCTGTTAAGTTATTAAGCGTATCGGATCTCGGTCACAAATGAGTTATTATTTTTATTCAGAAGAGATATAACCGAGGGCAAAAGTTAATAATCTTAATATTTTAGTACCTCGTACAGTAAACTGACAAAGTGAAATTCGTATATGCGCATATCCAGAAGGAGGTCAAAAGCGATAGGTTAAAGGAGACAAAACGACATGAGAATGAGTTTTCATTGCCGAAACACACGTTATACAAACAATTGTTAACACTAAAAAAATGTCGTATGATATTTGAATTATCTACATCAGTATTACAAACCAACGAGTACACACACAAAGTTACTATAATTGAAATAATTTTAAATCATGCAAGATTGCTTTCGTGTAAAAGCTTTTTTTGAAAAGCTTAAAAATGAAACGGAATCAGTATGGTAAAATTAATCTGTTAAAATGTATAACATTACTTTATTTAAATTCATGAAAAGAATATAAAAGATTATATTGCGGACATCGGTGAATGGACAGAAAGGAGGTTAAGGTCAGAAGACACGTTATTCTGCAGCAAATTGCCACTTGGTAAACAAACACACGGATATTTTTAATTAAACATTTACACCTACTGAAATGCAAATTTTATATGCTTTAAATCATACGATTCACCTTGAGTTGTCAGTAACACTTCTTAAGCAATTGTAACTATGGGTTTTCATTATCACAACACTTACATCTAAAACATTTTCATCTCTTTCATTCTCTTAGAAAAAGACAGAGAAGAGAATATGTTTCAACGCAAGTATAACTGCAGTGGAAATCCACTGTTAGACACTACGTCTCCGTTTTACAAAAGTCTTGAACTGTCTCTGAGTATCTTGTTTACGTACATTTGTATGCTGAGTACTGCTACTTCACGGTTTTAAAAAAACAATAAACCGTATTTTGTATGTCTGTTATGTATTGGGAATCTCAAGTTCGGTGCCCTGAGTCAAAGCTCCCTCTTCACCTCCAGCGATGTAGTGATGAGTGTCAAAAGATGGTGATTGTTTTCATCATCTTCAGCCTGCCGTTTTCCCCACATAGGATTGATGGGGTGCGTTTTGCTCTTCCGTACATCTCCATCAGCCTTCTTACCTGAATTCACACCCTTTTCACGTATATCTTCTTTCAGACAAACCTTGGTCTTCCTCCACCTTTGTAGCAATATTCAATCTCGTTACATTCGTGTAGATTGTATATTAAAAGTTTACTTAAACGTTAATTTAAGAAATGTTATCAAAATAACTTGGCAAAAATAACACCTTCTTAATATTATAAATGCGAAAGTTTCGATTGATGGATGTTTGTTAGAGTCTGTAGCCTAAACGTCTGAACGGAACTTGAACACATAGGCTACTACGCTTTTGTTTTATTTTAATTTCACGCGGACGGAGTCGCGGGCAAAAACTAGTCCAAAATATTTAATGCGGCATTGTTTTAGTTTAGTGTGCACAAATATGTAAATGATATTTTAATTGCATTTATCATTTAAGTATACTAGCTAGCTATTTAATATGAATTAAAATACAAAAGATTGGGAAAAAAATTAAGTCCTTATACTATTTCTATTGATATGAATGCTTGGTTTCATGATTGTCTATATTATTATAAAAACAAGTGATTACAGAATATAAATATTAAAACAATTATCCTGCCAGTCTTGACCTAGTCTAGCATATATCAAATTCATTAATCAATTCAATTGTTAATTCCGCAATTTATGTAAATACATATAAAAGGACAATGCCTGGCCTTTAACTTAACTTTGCCGTATTAATTTATTATTAACTATATGTAAATAACCTTGTATTTCTTTTAATCGCTGTCCGCTTCTGAAAAAGCTCAATTACTCTTAAATATAATATTGTATCGAATTATGAAATGATGTAACAAATGCATAAACCTTTTTTTAATATTCCCCGATTATAAATTACACGTATAAACCTAAGCATAGCAAAGTAGAATATTCTTATGAATTTAAAATAATATAAATAACTAACAAGTCAATTCCAATATTCATTTTATTAAAATTAACATTTAATTAAAGAATTATATCTTTAAATGGTTGAATCTAAATTTAACAACAAAAAAAATTAAGAATTAACAAACTCAAACTTGATTTATTCTAACAAGACAAGTTTTTGTCAACAGCCAATGGGAAAATGGACCACAAAGTCTCTAAGTTTAAGTTTAGTATTAATCTCACGAAAATTCTTTCTGACTATCGAAGGCTGTGTATATATTTATATATTATTTTTATAAAAAAAAATGGTCCAACCACGATAGAAGGTTTATAAGCAATTTTATGAATATTTACATTTCAAAATGTACAGGTAAAAATGTCAGTCATAAGAATTTTACGCATTCGACCTTCACACTTACTTACGTTTTTGGTATATCTTGAAGGTAATGTTTGGACGAAGAAAAAATCGTATCCTCGAGACGATGAACAAGTAATTTTGGACGCGGCTTGCGGCGCGTTGCGTCCGGGCCGGCTCACCTTCATCCTGGGGCCCTCCGGTGCAGGCAAGACCTCGCTGCTCAAAATACTGGCCGGCAGAAAGTAAGTATTTACATCCCTAAACCTAAATGCTACCAAATAACTGACCGCTATAAAGGAAATTTTATTTTTTACACAAGGTCTTTTTATTGATTATTTTTATATCGCAGTTAAACTTTGATGCCAAAGATATCGGCACAGTTTTTAAAACGCCACAGTTGCTGTAATAATAAATATTTTAACCAAACAAAGATAAAATTCAAACTTGACCCAATATTAAAGAATAAATAAATCTTAAAAAAAATGTCAGCGTTACTATGAGTTTGTAAAGGACTTTATTGATTTTACTTTGATTTTGCATATGTTTGACCCAAAGACATTTAAGAAATATGTAAACTAGACATAACAATAACGACATAGGGAATAACATTTTTCCACCGGTAACTTCTTTGTACGGTAATGTTTTAATCACGCTGAGACGCTTTTCAGTGTTTGAATTTTTTTTGTTTGTGATTTTGAGATTATGTAAAAAATGTTTCATGTGAAGTGTGAACTCTGCTTACTCCTTATATTTTTAATCATTAACACTATCATAGCACTTACTCATAAAACAATATTTCTTACAGACAAAACGTAAACAATTCATTAATAATGAAAGCTATTTATTGACTCAACGTACGAGTATAACCTGATTATGTTTAAAAAGGATTTAAAAATACAAAGCAGGTTTTCATCACGTGCAAGTAATAATAACAACATTAATTGAAGTCCATTCGCAAATCTTAAGAATGGTTATTTTTCGTGAATTATTTATATTTCAATCTACATTTATATCTAACTTATAATCTCAAAAACTACTCCACCGATTTCAAAATTTATTTTTCCTTTAAAAAGCTACATAGTCACAGAGTAACAACAACATTGAGTTATGTTTATTGCCAGATTTTTTGACCGACTTCCTTTTAAATTCTGCTCGGACTGAGTCGCGAGAAAAAGCTGTTTTTTATGAATCAGTTTTTGTTCTTCTAACACCATCAGTACAAACCGGACGTTAAAGTATGTAAATAAATAGAATGCATTGCAATTTAATGGAATTTATTCTTGTAGATATTCATATATGCCTAATTTAATCAAGATCTGTTAAGCTGTTTGGAGATACGTACGTACAAACAATCCTCCAAAATTTTACATTTTTTATTAATTACATTGGTATTATAATTAAAAAACAATATAAATGAGCTGCAGACGAAAAACTCAAGAACTTAAAATTCAAAAATGACAAAATCGTCTTAAACAACATTGTGCAGTGTTTTTTCCTTTTACAAACGAGGGATTATGTAAAGCATATTTATCTTAGATCATAAGAACCTCAAGCCATGTCCGTATAATGTAACACATCTTGATAAGAAAAATAGACGGAAAATAAACGAATGTAAAATAATGAATAGGTACAAAAATTAGAGTCTGTAAATTAAATACTAGATTTAAAGAAAACGTAACACAATCTAATACCAAAATTACACGAGTGATATTTATGATTATATACATGTCTTAATGTTAAACACGCATAGTCAAAGGTTATCATAATGACCTGGATAAAGCAATTGTTGAACATTAAATGTAGTCAAACAATATCACTAACATTTTTGACTTATAAAGAGTATTAGTGTACCCTTGATGCTAAACTAGTCGAACAATTTGTTTCAGAAAGCGTGGTGTAAAAGGTTCCATTCAAGGGATAGGCAAAAATGCGGTGTTGGTGGCGCAACATGCAACCCTCATAGACGCCCTCACCGTGCGCGAAACACTACATTTCGCTGCTGTACTCAAGTTACCTAAAGCAACTCGACTTGAACGCATCGACACGGTATAAATACATATTATATTGCAAAACTATTCCGGTCCCGAACGTTTTATCAATGCAAATTGCGATTGACTTCGAGTTATTATTTATTAAATATAGTTTAATATACACAGCATTTGATCTGCAACTGATTTGATGTTACGATTAGGTTACATGTATTGGAACAGTAGGATAAGTATTTTAGGAACCCACAAATGAGCAAGCACCAAACGGCTTAAATAAAATGTATTTTTTTATTGCTAGATAGAAATGATATCGAAGCAGCTGGGAATCCGCGACGTGTTCAATACGAGAGCAGGTCGGTTGTCCGGCGGTGAACGCAAGCGGTTAACAATCGCCTGCGAGCTTCTTACAGATCCCCACATCATGCTCTTAGACGAACCTACCAGGTAATTCACACAAGCAGCTGCATAAAGAGAAAAGATGTACGTAATTTTAATAAACTCCAGGGTCATAATCCAAATAAACCCTTGTTTATATTGTTATCATTTATAATAGATAAGCTCATAATTGGTCGATAGGTTCTAAGGTAAATATAAATACTTAACACATGTAACTCAAATTGCAATACATTTTCATTATGTTTTTATCACAGTGAGATTCATTTTATATGATGAACATTGTTAGTTCAAACTATTTAGCACACACTTTCTCTCTCAAGAAAGTCACTTCTTGCGACTGTAAACGACTCGATTTCGTTGCGAATCAACACTCAATTTTTGCTTTTAATCTTTCGTAGCGCAAACATTTCTTGCAAGTATCAACTTAATGAAATTGCCACAAGCACTAAAATAAATTCGAGGTTAAAAAACATATAATTATTTCTTACATACTTAAATATGTTACATTGTACGTGGTTACATATTTCGACGATAACCTTTAATACCGAATATAAAACCCACTTTATTCTCATTACATTTATGTATTGCTAAAAATATAATTTTATCTTACAACTGACTTGTGTATAACAATGACGCCACAACTTTCTTATATCTAAAGTTTTCTAGTGTCATGGACATTACATGTAGTTAGGATGTTATAATGTATTTTATTTAAACGAAACTGACTTCCTGAGGTTTAAAAATACCAGAAAAATGTGTACACAATTTCTAATATTGATTGAATTATTCTATCCAAACTTTTGTTTGTACTAAAAAATTTGTGGGACTGGTGGTTTTCGATGATGTTATAAAGATTTGAATGGAAATACAAACATGAGTTTTCAAGACCGTATATTTATGAATCAGGACTTTCACGTTAAAATATAAGAAAGTGAATTCTCAAAGGTTTATCATAGGTCCCAATCATTCACTTCTTATTATAAATATTCTTTCTCATTCTAATAAATTCACTTTACAGTGGGCTGGATTCAGTATCATCACTGTCAGTGACCAAGGCGCTGCAGGCAGTGGCCAGGACTGGACGGACTGTGGCCTGCGTCATCCACCAGCCCTCCTCGCAGCTGTTCTCCTCCGCCGATGACGTCATGCTGCTCGCAAATGGGCGAACACTATACGCCGGCAGCATAGAAGATCTCCCCAACACACTAAAGACCGCCGGACTGATTTGCCCACGCTACTACAATATGGCGGATTACCGTACGTAACTACGGATAACTTAATTATGTCTTGTCAATATAAAAATTCCACTCTTCTGTATCGAAGATTAGGAAAGCAAACCAATTGGCACAGCTCATTCGATATCAAATAACTATTGCCACCGAATGATATTTTTATTTAATTCTCTTGAAACCTTGAAATTCTATACGGTTCGATGTTAAATTATTTCTCTACTTATTGATATGTGCACAGCGATGCGTTTAGTATTCGATGACATATGTATGCGAGTGCTTGTATATGCTAGCCATTGTGTGAAATCTAGTGTATGACTCGTACTTATTTTATCAACGAGTGCGACGGTTACCGTGCTGTCCAGTATGAAAACAAATAAAAGGATACGAAATACAATTTAATTTGCAATTTGTATTGCTTCTGTTGTTTAAATCATTTTAATATTGAAGTGATGGGTAAAAAATCGAATAAAATCCATGTTCAAAAGACTACTTGCTATAAGTCGAATCCGATATCGATCTTACAATGGGTATGGTGATATATAAATTTAATTGAAATCTGTTGTGTTGCTGTTTATAATAGCCAATTTTAAACATGACTAGAGATTACAAGCCACGGTCCTTGTCTCTTTATTCACTTGATTATTTTATCATATAAAGATTTACGACGTTGCGTACAATAAAATGATATACGAGTAGTTATCACTAATTAGACGTTTTTAGAACAAGATATCATTTAATTAAGACATTAAATGCAAAAACAATGACGTATTAGTTCATCTAAAATGCATCGTTGATTACTTATTAAATATCAATATATCCGTTTTAACTAGATGTTAGTTATTGTTAGTAAATACAAATGTACACTATGTTCTATTAATAAAACTATTGTCGATGAGCGGTGCAATATAATGATTATTATAAAATTATAGTGAAATATTACAATAAACGGTATTTTAATTAGTTACTCCGCAAACGCAATAACTCATAGTAGCTCTTGGTCTCAGAACAGCAGCGTCGCATTTTCTGTTATATCTTTTGTTTTTAAAAACAAACTGCATTTTAAACTGTTTTATAACTGTTTTAGTTATAGAAATAGCAAGCAACAAACATACAGAGAGCTTCGCACTTTTAGAAAATGAAGCCAAACTTTACGCGTCGGAAATGAGAAAAATCGCTGAAAATGATAACTCGGCAAAGAATGAAAAAATTATTGGTAAGACTTTCCACTGTTCATATTTGTATTTTGGACAGATAGATTCCCAGTTTTCGTTTTTGTTTTTTAAATAAAGCTTCCCGAAATTTAATTCAGAATCTTTCCTAATAGTTTATTATTTTTTATATAAAAATCAAGAAGTACTAAAATTGGGTATATGAATTGTTTCCGCTCATATGAAGAGGGATACTTCAACAAAGAGATAAGATGCGTAGGCGTCACGACTAAAGTACAAATAACACATGCATTGGGAACAAAGCTTATTGTAACATGAAATTACTCAACTGGGTTTAAAGGAAGTGTCTTTTTACTGATAGTGATCAGTTAGGCAAAAATAATTCGTCCAACTCTTGGACGTGATAATTAGCTTATTTTCGTTCTGTCTATTTTGTATAATATTGTTTACTATTTGATAGTCAAATATTACCGTAAGTTACCACTGCCGCTGCCAAAATAAGAGGGATCACAATATATCTTGTACATGTGGGAATCCATACTTAGTAAAGATATACATGTTTTTCATTTACAGAAATCTCAAGTGAAGCTGAAACGCTATTAAATGTAAACACATTAAATGTTCGGGACTATGCGGCGTCTTATAGCCAACAATTGTCAGCACTACTATGGCGAGGGTACATAGGAGCGTTACGAGATGTACATTTGACTCAGGTAAATACCAAATGCCATAAAAGTCATAAATTGTATGTATTTGTACGAATACAATTCAACGATGTACTGTTTAATAGTTACATTAACTCATAAAGCAATATAATACCTCATACATTTATACATCCAAACATTTACATAAGTGTTTATATTAAGTATTTACTTATTAAGAAAACCATTTATCTGCACATTTATCCTTACAATTTCCATGCAACATCTGCATACAAAACTGCATAATTTAAACGTACGCTCGCGTCGCGCAAAAACGTGAACAATGTTTTATCATTAGACCATTATTGACACTGCATGTGAATAAGTTTTATTGACACGGATCTTATAGTTGATTATCTCATCAAATAATGTTATGCGTACTTTGTTATAGTGTAATCATAATCAGACTTAATGTTATGATTTTTCTCTAATGCATGTTTGGCAGTCCATCTTACTAATATAAAAGCGAATGATTAGAGTTTGGGAGTTTGTAGCCTAAACTCGGATCTCAAATTTGGCATAGACGTAGAGGTTAGTCCGAAAGAACATAGAAGCTACTTACTTTTTGTTTTTAATTTCACGCGCGCGAAACCTAAAGTTAGGTTTTTTTAAGTGATTGTCATCAATTATACGCCAATCTTACTATCAAAAACAATAGTTTAAGGATAATTAAGCATCCTCTTTGCGTAAATTCCCCTAACTTAATCTAAACTTAGAGAATCCCGTATTGTCTTTTAGTACATTTGTGATAAATCTGTACTAAGGAATCAATAAATCACTGTGTGTTGAAACTTGCTATTACTTTAGTGTATGTTATAATTTTCAGATACGTATGGTGACACATCTTCTAGTGGCATTGCTACTCGGTGCGTTGTACAAAGGCGCAGGCGCTGAAGCCCATCGTATGACAACTAACACGGGCTGCTTGTTCTTCTTCCTTCTATTTATCTTCTTCTCTAACGCTATGCCAACTATACACAATTGTAAGTATGAAATGATACTTGTTCTATTCTCTAATATTTATTAAAGATCGCAATAGGAAAGATACCTACGTTACATTCATAAAATCAATTTTACTTACAGTCCCAGTGGAGTCTACCGTTGTACTTCAGGAGCATTTAAATAAATGGTACTCCTTGACGATGTATTGTGCGTCGAAGATTATAGTTGATCTACCCATACAGGTAAACAGATCGTTTAAATTATAATAAGTTAGTAGTAGCACTGTTTATTGACAAATGATTGCATCTACTTTACCTTTTGTTTCAGCTGTTGTGTGCAACTGTTTTCATATTCCCTGCTTGGTACTTAACGTCTCAACCTATGGAGCTGGATCGAATGGCTTTGGCGTGGATCATTTGTGCTCTGACTACAATACTGGCGCAAACATTCGGTTTGGTTATCGGAGCTGCTTGCGGTGTTAAGGTAATGTTTGAACCCGTATTATTTACACATAGAATTATAATAAACTGGCCTTCGGCCGTGCGGAATAAAAAAAAAAGGTGTAAGTAGTCTGTGTTTTTCCAGGCTATGTTCTAAATCTATGTGAAACTTCAGTTCAGTAGTTTAGGCTACAAACTTTACCAAACATCTATCCATTCATGTTAACTTTAATAATTTTAGTAAGATTCACGATGAAGCAAAACAAAGAAGTAGCGATAGTTTAATACTGACAGTAACCACTTCTTCGTATCTACTCTTTTTAATTGTCCCTGTCTTTTTAATAAGTTTTAATTGAGTGTATCTATTTTTCAGCTTGGAATGTTTGTGATACCAGCAGCCAATATTCCCATGTTGATGTTCTCAGGATTTTTCATCCCCTACCACGAAGTGCCGGTATATCTTCGTCCTTTTGCCCTCATTTCGTATTTCAGATACGCGTTCGATGCATTTCTATCTACCGTCTACGGTTTCAACAGACCGAACTTACCATGTCATAAGGAATTTTGCTTTTATAAGAATCCTAGCAAGTATCTAGAATTTTTGGGACTATCTGAAGATTTTTATAATGACGTCATTGTTCTAATAGTGTGGATTCTTGTATTAGAAATTTCTTTAATATGTGTTTTAAAGTACAGAGTGTATAAAGCATGTAGATAGAATTATTTATATAAATGTTTTGTTTTTACAAATTTACGATCTGTGTAACGCATAATTTTTTATGTCTCAATTTAGCATGTAAATTTTATTTTTCTACTTTTATACAACGGGACTCTGTATTTATAAGAATTTAGTTTGTGATACTCATTTATTTTAGTGTATTATTCAATTTATGAATTGCTGTCAATTTATTCGTAGGTAATTAAATATAGATTTAATATTACAAAATGTGTCTTTGTGTCTGGAAATTGTAATAATTAGTTTGTAAGAAAACCAGTTTACTACTTCTGAAATACGGATGACAAAATTATATTTTTAGCAACCTTGTATTACAGCGGTACTTGTATAACTGTCGCTAGATTGTTTAGAAAGCTCCTTACAAAAGTTAATATTTCTTTTATTTGTGCCCTGAGTTAGAGATCTAGACTTGGCAAGTCAAACTTCTTCTTTATGACCAACCTCTTTACAGAAGGAACACGTGACTTTTAGAGCTACTTTCGCTAGGTGTTAGACCAAAGAGCTTATAAGTAAGAGTCGGGACTTAGAACAAAGAATAAGCTCGGTCTGACACCAAACTCACTTCTCGCCGCAAAAAGTTACCAGGATAAAAATATTTAATTTCAATTTTTCCGACACAATGAAAAAACATGTGCACCAACCTAACAAAAATCATTAGTGAAGGCTCTTATAATCGATACCTTGATGTCGATATCGATTAAATGTGGGGTGATTGGGTGGCCCTTCTTAATGCAATCTCATATTTCAAATAACTTTGCATTTAGGCTCAATGTTAAATTATTCTTAATGTAATTTTTCATTTACTGACATTGAACCTAAATTATCCAAAGGGAAGCAAATGAAGTAAATAATTACCAAAATTACATTTATTTATTTTATTAACAAGGCATCGCCAAGTAATATTTTAAATATAGTGTTTGTTTTTGTGGAATAATAATTGTCTAGGATAACTGTCAAATAATAATTTTGTATACCTGGCTTCATTCCTAATTTACAATAAAACCTCTTCCTTCCTTCAAAATTTTTCAGGTAACAATTTCTATCCACCCACTCAGATTCCGGTATTTTTACATTTTTTTTTTCCTTTTAATTACGTTGACCTGTATTTATATTCAAAATTTCGAGTTTGTGGGACTGCTAAAAGTACCTTAGAATTATGTTTACACGTGCGTTTCTGTAAAATGTAAAGGATTCAATTAACGATATATACATGTCAAAACAAAAAATATCGATAATAAAATAATTTACAATGACAAACTGTAAACTAGATACATCACTAGCACAAAATATTTTTTCAAATTTAACTCTATACAACTAATTAAAAGTACCATGATAGCTATACATTTACCTTTTTTAATAATTAATTAATGATTATCGATTCTCATCCAATTTTCCGAAAGATGAAACATTATTGAATCTTTATTTTCAGTAGAAGTTCATCCCAATTATTTGAAACGTTTAAAACTTTTCAGTTTTTTTTTTAATAAAATAAAAGAAAATTTTACTGATGTAGAAACTTTAAAGAAATATGAACAATAATAAACAACAAAAAATGGTAAAACGGCCCGATAGATATAACTTTTTCACTGTATCAGATTTATGTATTATTACACTTGAAGAGAAGAATTAAAAAGTTATGGTGGAAACGATTTTTATTTTTTTTACATTTAACATATCTGCATGTTCAAATGCCTTAATAATAAAGTATTGAAAAATTCAACACTTCTTGCATGAAGGTCGGCAACACCACAAAATATTTACTAATCAAAAGTAAAACAAATAAAACAATGTCAATACTGTTTTATTTGATTTTTACAACACAGCCAGTACATCACTGGAAAGAAACGTCAATTTTTTATAATAGCACACATCCAAAATCCTGTGTAAATACGAAATACATACAAACAAAACGCAGTTTTCACAGAATTACTTATGCACATTTTTATATGAAACATAATAAATACACATTGTACTTAAACTGTAAATGCCACAAGTTGGATTCAGTATTACAAAATAGTCTAAAAAGAGGATTTTGTCAAAATTAAGATTTAGTACACTCATAGAGTAGTCAAGTATTTTTTCTACATTCATCCAATACTTTTGTATTATGGGTCTTATTTTCTAGTTAGCTTTAAATTTGTCTTTACCTTTAATTCATTATTTTTCTTACTTCGATTTATTTTAAAAATATTTGGTTTGTGAACCGATGTTTTTTGCATAACAGTACTTTCGTACGCGCAAACATTTGAAAAAAATTTATCTGAACTATAACTAATTAAGAACATCAAATTATATAAAAGTAGGAATTAATTGGAAAAAGAAGGTTTAGATATTTGTCAAGGTTTTTTAATAATTATTGGTAAACGACATTTGTCTTTGTCCAGTGACTGTATGGAAACAAATCACTTTTATTTAGCTGTGTTCAGACTACCGCTTTTATCAAATTCACATATGAAGCATTTGCTAAATAAATATTAACACTTTTTACGAAATTCGACATAATAAGACCTAGGTATGCACTCACCTTAATCGGTGTATTTTGTGATAGCAAAAACTTTATAATACTTAGGGCCTTTCCCACTACTGGCTGATGGAGGCTTCAATAGCTTAAAATGAATAGAGTACCAAAATACGATACTTCGATCACATATTTTATACGTTGGATTATCTGACAATTAACAATTGTGGGACAGGCCCTTAGTTTTTTTTACTAAATAATGTGATCTAGGGCTTGCTGATTTAAGCGACAATTATTAGCTAATTTGAATATTTACTATAAGCGCACATATAAATTATCATATAAACTGTACAGAATAAATAATTAGCGTTTACTATTTTTATAATTATATACAAACTTCATTTTTAAAATGGATTAATATATTGCACATAATTATATTGTAAAAAACACGAAATAGTGAAGTGTAAATAAATAACAGCACGTCCTATAGAAATTTGTTGTAAATAAACAATAAAAGAAACATAAAATTAAAATATACAATACAATACTAGTAGTAATTAGGATTATTTTAGCGATCTAAAGTTAGGGAAGGGCGTTTGAGCGGCCGCCCAGGGCGGTTGACAGACACCACAAGTCTGCGAATTACTCTCACATAACGCTCTTAGTCATAACAAAGGGCGCCGTAAAAATCTAACTCAAAACGCTAGTACAGCTTCGGTGTTACCTTTTGGTTTGAATTCTCAAAATATATTTTATATTTGTCTCGTAACAGAACTAATTATTAGTATAAAATATAAATTATTATAGTAATACTGTCATATTTTGAAACGAATTTATTCTTTGGTATTGTCAATACTCAACTATACCATAGATTTCATAGACAAGTTTTTGTTTGTTTCGTCAATAGAAACCCATGGTATTAATGTTACCTAACATTGTCTATGTTTCAATATGTATGACAAACTTATAGCCTCGTATATAATTGATTCAGTTATTTGTGTAGCTACAGTATTTGATTCAAAAAGCATTACCTGTGAATATAAAAATAATCATACATAATATAAAATATGTTCATCGTATGTAAGCGTGCACAGCAAGCTCTTTGATTGGTAGTCAGTATATTTCATACAAACATTACGACGGCATGTCTTCTAATTTTAACAACGACCTGAAAGATAAAAACAAAAGCATTAGGAATTTTTAGCTAAAATGGTCATCATTTCTTAAAAAATGAAAACATGTATTTTTTTCTATTTATTATGCCTTAGTTGTTCTCATAAACAATTATTTTAAAGGAGCAGTTGACTTATAAAAAAAGATAAGCAGATCGATCTAAACTTTATTTTAAAAACGGTAATTCCGTGGAAAGCGACTAAAACATAGTTAAACTATATTTACCTGCAATAGTCTGGAGGTAAGGTTAACGTTTTATACCATAGAAGTATGTTTAGGAATACACTCCATGTCCTCAGGGGTCCAAATATAAATGCCAGAGTGCCATATTCAAGCCAGTAGAAATACGCCAACAACAATTGTATTGACAACAAAAATATAAATGGTAAATTCTTCAAAAGTCTCTTAAAACCTCTTAGATTTTGCCCAAATAATCTCATCTCAAGGCAATACGCTAATACAAAAACAAGGGGTATATGAACAAACATCAACTGCACACTACCGTACATATATGTAAACGGTTCTGGTAAATATGACCCCTTTATTATGATACCCCACGCAAATACAACACCGATGTACCCATCGATCAGTTCTCCGATGATCCACGGCCCAAACGGTATGTACAGCACATACAAAACTAGAGGATAGAAAACTCTATCTATCTTCGTCAACAACCAAATCCTTCTAAGAATCTTGTTAGCGATGCCTCGGCGACATTTCGGCGGTCGCTTTTGAAACCTCAGTATCACTAATGGTAATATATTAACCATTAATAGAGTTCCAAATAGTGTCTGAAACTGAAAATCAAATAATTAATAATAATTCTGAAAAAATAAATACAATTAAATAGTTACATGAAGAACTTACCACACCACCCGCATCAAGCATAAGCAAAATTCTCGGAACAACTTTGAATTGCAAATTTGATCCGTCCAAAGAAAATGGATGATCCACAAAAGCTTTTCTACCGATTTCATCCACAGCCATGACGTACAAGTAATGTAAATCATTTTTAAACATATCAGGTTGCCATTGACAAACATATAAGGGTCTTTTTGCCAATTTGCACTCAGACCAATTTATTTTATCATAAGATATCTGTACACTGTCAATATTTACATCGCTAAAGGCCAGGATTCTTACGTGCGTTGAATATTGAATTAAATTCAGGGGCTCACGTCCGGGCATCGAATATAGCGCGTGTTTCGGATTAGTCACGAGAACGACTGGCCACGTATTATGTTTTTGATCGACGAATGAAAAAATTCCGTGGTCTATAGCCGCCAAGCGGTACATTCTATTATCTTTCCAATCGCCCAATTCGAGTTCAAGAAATCCTTTCCTTTGAATTGTGTACATTTGTGGTACTAATCCTCCCATAGAATGAAGATGGCCACATACATAGACTTGTGATCCTCTTGCGTTGCCTATAAGGTTTCGGAGATTCAGTCTCTGTGAATCTCTCTCTAAGGACAGTATACATGACGTAGGATAGTGGCCAAACCAGATCACATGATCGGCTTTTTCTGCTTCTAGTTTCAATTTCTGTAAATGTTGCTGTTCTTGATTGTCTAATATCCCAATAAAATTAAACGGTCTTCGTATGCCGGGGTCAGGGCACGCATCAACGCCTAAAAAGGCCACTTTTACGCCATTTTCATTTAAAGTATGAACATAAGATTTTGGATAGGTTTTACCCTGCACAGAGTAGTTTCTAAAATAATTCTCTTGAGCATTAATATTTTTAATGTTGAAATTATCTGAAAATAGCAGACAAATAACCATTTTAATGAATTTAGTCTAAACTAATGTATAAAGAGGAAATATTTAGATTTTTGTCTGTGTTCGATTCACGTAAAAATTACTGGGTCAATTTTATAAGTTCTTGTACCAATGGAATGGTAATTTATTTGTGAATAATATAGGCGACGTTTTTAATTATTTTTTAATTTCACGCGGGCGAAGTCGCGACCAACAGCTAGTAATCATATAAAGTATGCCCTAATTTAGGAAGCTTCTCCCATTTTACAACATTTAATTTCTTCTGATATGACTAATAAAGTTGTTAATGGCAAAGTAATAAATAACACAAACAACAATATTTAATAGAAGTATATCCAGACCTTAGTATATAATTGTTAAAACATTTTAAAAAATTGAAATGTTAAAAAAATCTGATTATTTACAATAATTTACTGTTTTTTCAAGAACTCAACATAGTGTGTACTGATTAAATAATGAAATACTGTTTGTTACAGGTATTGTAAGTTTCCAAGCTTCATACAATCTTTATCAGTTGTTCAACACCATATAAATGACTACATAATTTTCATGATAGTAAGGGTGTACAGGTGTAATATCCTCAATCCACAAGATAAAAAACCAAAATGGCATTCTGTTACTTCAACACATATAAAATTCTTTCACAAATATAGAAGATTCCAGAACATAACTTTCAAATAATCTTTTATACATACACACAATATCTTTTAAACAACAATTAAAGTAAATATGATCAATAAAAAATAACTTTAATTTTCACACAATTAATTTAAATCATGATAGGATGAAAAAACTTACCATGATTTCCTCTTATATCTAACCAAATAGTATTACTCGTAACTCCAGATTCTTGTATAATATTGTAATAATAAATCCATTCTTTTTTAACTTGGGAACTGCCCAAATTATCTTTAGCTTTAGCATCTGTGAGATCTCCTGTTGCAAGGACAATGTTGGGATTTATATGTTTTACTGTGTTATCACAAAACTGCTGGAATTGAGATATTCTGCCTGGGTCTCGGAATATACTGATGTGTATATCAGAAATCTAAAAAAGAATTAAGACTGGGATTAACATTTACAACAGAAAATTAGAAAACTGAATTAATAAATAAATCAATATACATAAGTTATGTAAGACTTGCTTTTTAACGCGTAAATTAATTTCCTTATAGGGTGTTAAAATAATGATGCAATCGAATTTGTGTTTGATGTAAAGTGGTTAATAAATTAATACATTTTATAACTTTCAAATCAATCAAGTATTATATAAGAAATATCAACCTTTAATTTACCTGTAAGAACCATATTAAGTTTTTATTGCTATCAGTTATTTTCTTATATTTTTGACTTAGATATTTTGTATAGTTTAATCCTTCATCCTTGTATTCAGTGTAAAAATTGTGGTCGGTCGCTATTATATTTAGTAAGCTAGCCATAAATATTGATATAATTAATAACACACATAATAGAGAAATTGCGGCCTTTGAAAAAATCATATTGTTTTAACTGAAAAAAATATGCACAATCACACTTGTTCTTTCTAAATAACAGTAATTGAAAAACTTTTTAGATCTTTCATAATACTAGAATAGATAACCAAATAATTAAGTACGATTATCAAAGTTGATTTTATATAGTCCAACAAAGACAAGAATTCTGTTCTGCAAGAAACGGTTCACAAACTTACAGCAGCTGACAAATGAAATTGACAGCTGACAGTTGAACGAATCTGACTTTTGTTTGATAAGGGATGTCAGTTTATATATTCTTCCCTAGCAACACTTAGAAAAAGAAATTAAAAAATGGCATAATTGAACCTAAATTTTGATACCTGAAACAACTTTTGAGATCTTAGGGCATAATATTGAATTAGTTTTAGTCTCTCTTAAACTCCCTCGAACTAAATTATCTACATTATAATTACAGTGTCCGGGAGAAGCCGTGTACAATGGGCTGCCACAGAATCCTTGGTCGAAAGTATGACAATTTGACCCAACTTATGTACCTCTATCCGAAGTTTCCTCGTTTGAGCGCTAGAGGGCTTTAAAGTTGCCTAAATATTTATTTTTATTTATATGTCTATTAAAAATGTAAATTGGCGAACGGTTGTGTCTCACATCATCATTTCACCACATTACAATTTTTAAATTTAACTTTGAATGGGTTCAAAGTGAATAAAATCTAAGGATTTTCGAGATATTTGAATAAATGTAAAACTTTAGGGGCCTCTGGCGCCCAAATGAAGTAACTTGGATTAGAGGTAAGTTGGGTCAAATCCAAATCGTCATATTTTGGAACGTGCAATATGTGGTAGTCCATTGTACACGTCTTTATCGGACATCCTGCATAATGTAAGCTTACAAACCTGTCATAAAAGACCACAGTGTACTTTTTAATAGATATATATACTTACTAGCTTTTGTCCGCGACTGCGTCCGCGTGAAATTTAAAAAAAAAACAAAAGTAAGTAGCCCATGTGTTCTTCCAGACTATATTTTACACCTGTACTAAATTTCACCGAGATCCGCTGTTTAGTTTACAAACTCTACCAAACATCCAATCATCATACTATTAAAACATTTGCATTTATAATATCAGTACGTAAATTGAGATTGAACCTTCGACATTGTTAAGCATTATATGTTTTTGATAGTTTTTGATTCGGGAAGAGAGATGAAAAACATATTTTATGTTAACTTTTATATACAACAGGATATCTTAATGTTCTAAACTTTTATCCAAACAAGTTATAGTTAAAAATTAATCCGAAAAGTTTTTTTATGGTCGTAGATGTTATTTTATTTTGGTATTGGATCGTGGTGACATTGTTAACTAAACACGCCTGTAGCCGTTCAAATTAAAAACTGATCAACACATTGGAATTCGTTTGACGAAATTTTTGATGGAAATGTATCAAAATTCAATAATAGATTAAAGTTGCATGCGTACATATCTAATGTACTTTATAATTATTTACATTTACAAATTATTCAACAGTAAATTCCAGACCATGTGTTTTTTATTCAGTATTATGCTGCACAGCACATACTGCCCTCATAAAATCCGAACAGTGCTAATAAAACTTTAAATAAATACAAGATCATAATGTTATGATATACAAGGATAGTTTTTCTAGGTATTATTAGCGTTATGTGATAAGGATTTACCATTCCACTGGGTAGTGAATTTTGCTATTTTAAAGCTTCATTCTGTCATTATTAGTTATCCCTACTATGTAGATATGAGAGGTTTTACAGATTATCATATAAAACTATTCATTGCAAACAAACATTATGTATAGGTACTTAAAATAGGAAGGTAGGTATATAGGTAGTTAAATCTACGACCCTTATAATAATTGCATTGAATTTATGTTGTTATAGAAGTCCTCAATGGTTCATTGTTTCCTAAACGGCCGTAAAACGCTATTGAATACGTTTATATGTATGTACTTGTACTCAGTATTGGTAGGCGGAGTGTTTTGAAGTATATTAATTTTAACGCTCGCATTCCATGCAAGACGCCGCGAAGTCGCGCAGCCGGCGCGAGGCGCGAGGAGAGGCGCGGCATGGCGGCTCGCCCGCGAGGCCCCGCTCTGAGCTCCGAGCAAAGCCTACGGCCGCGGCCGGTACCCGCTACCGCTACCCGCGCCCGCGCCACGCCACTATCTTGCCGCATTCCACGGAGCCGCAGTCGGCGCGCCCCGCGCGTGCCTTCGTGCCTTCGCCGACCCATGCGCACTCCTCGCCTCGCTTGCTTGTCGCTTCTCTTAGTCGGACTTACGCGCTCGCAGAGTAAGCGCATTTGCGCCGCGCGAAGCGCCGTGCTTACGAGATCGGGAATAGTGTTCAGTGCAGTGCTTATGCTTACGCGTGTCGCCAGTTTATTGTGTTATTGCAGTTGCCATTGGATTTGTTTATTGATGGTAAGCAAAGTGGTTCTATGATTTGCTGTGAACGGCCACCGTGGAAGCGCGCGCTTTCACGATGCGGCCACTTTCATTTCATACACATAGCTCGAATTCCGCGCGCCCGCGCCGTCCACTCAGCGGCCGGTGACCCTGCGCCCGCGCATCCTTAACACCAACATTGCTGCTGAACTAGTCAAGGCCCGAGAGCCAAGACGTTGCTGAATAATTGACTTGTACATAATAATCATACAAGTACAAACATACATAATGGTGTTTTGTAATTATCGTCACCCTGTGCCTACCCATTAAGAAAACTGTGTCGAACGGTTAATAACAAATTACCTACCTGCTTATTAAATCCTTTAACAATTAAGATTCAAATTTTGTTTCATAGAAATAATAAACAAAAATCTAAGGTTCTACCGATGATTCTCCAGGAATTTATTTCATTAAGTAAACAACATTGTAAACATTAACATGCTTTATTCAAACAAAGTTTATGGCACAGAGTTTACATCGCATGACATTTTATCATACCAAACCAAGGCTTCAAGTTGATATCTACACATTCCAAAATAAATTAAACTTTGTAGAGTCATTAATTACTAATTAAAAAGAAATGCTATACCGGAATTTGATAGTTTCAGAAGAAGATAAGTTGTGGTTTGATAACAATTACGTTCTATTTAGGTAATATTCCATCGTTGTGCAACATTTGGCTGTCTAATAGGTATTGCGTTGCGAGTCTAAAATTTAAACTTACTAGTTGTACAAAAAGTATTCATTTTTTTTATTTATCTTTTAACTAGACAAAATCAACTAAACTAAATTACGTAAAATACGTTTTAAATACGGCAAACACAGAATGTTTTAGTAAAAATAAAAACCAAAATATTTATTTGCACTCTATTCGGTTTCGTTTTGAAAAATAATCTTGAAGTAAAAATCATAATATTTACATTGCATAAATTGCATTTAACGAACATAAATCAGCTTATAGGTGTTACAGAACAGCATAAAATTACCAGTTATCCTTGACCAGTTTTTAATTTTTACTTACCAACATAGGCACTTATATGAGTCAGATATACCTACATGTATCTAGCCCAAATAAAATTTACCAAGAAAAAAGTAAACATGTTATACCTGTTGTATGAGATCTGTACTTACCTTGAAGTTATAATTATCAAACTTCGTGTAAAAAATCAAAATTACTTGAGTACTCATTCATTTTATATATGAATATGTAATTTAACAACCAGAAATATTTTTCAAAGGAGTTTTTAAATTCCCCTACAAGCCATTAAATGCATAACTCAATAACATCTTGTGTACATATTAGTTTCACGTTTAAAACTGTAAAACAATTTAATAGAAGAAACGGAAAATCCGATTTGCGTAAAGCTAGCTAACCGCACGTTCAAATTGCTTCAGTGATTGATAAATTAAATGATTCATTAGCTCACAAACAGGCTAGGTACCGGCGCGACCGCATTCCTTTGATAGCATACTGTGTAAATAAAACTCACGAATGACAAGACGTAGACGTCAGCTAGCATAAAAATTAATATCAATGTATAGTATTAGGTATTGTGTTAGAAAATAATTTAACAACGACATAGGTCTTCGATGAGTTTAATAAAGACGGCATCGACAACGCAGGTCCTCATATATGTAGATCTCCATTATTTCGATTTTAGACATTTATATTATTTTTCCGATTTTTTTAAGATGAAAGATATGGTGATGATTCCTAAATTCCTACACATATCTGCGTCAGGCCAAATCGCTTCTAATTTGAGGAAGGCTTGAGTCTCTCCGTAGAAAAGAATACGAGCAGATAACTAGAAAAACTTATCATGACATATCCTTTTTTAATTTACTACTTTTTCATACGAGCTTTATCGTACAACTTACAACTTTCGTTCGTAACACTTCTGTTGAAATGAAGTTTCCGGCCAAATTGTGTCCATCAGTTCCCACTATTAATATTCCTAAGTCACTTTACAGTTAACTTGATAACGTTTTGTGTCTTACACTAATTACTTCGTGTTGTATTGAGACTGGCTATTTATTAAGATATTAATTAAAGAACATCTTTCCTAGTTATTTCCACGTAGTAATATCTGGCATAAAATATAGCGCAGAATATTAAAACATATTGATAGATCGGATAGCTAACTCACTGCGAAAATAAATAAAACATATTACTAAGGAGTTATAGAAGAATTGGAATAAAACAATCTACCTTTTCTGGTTGATAATGCATAAGATGGGCCTGAATAGGAATTAATATTGAGCAATGATAATCTTACTGATACTATAGATGTGAAAGTTTAGATAAATGAATACTTGTTAGAGTTTGTACTCTAAACGGCTGAACGGATCTTAATGAAAGGCTGAAGAACACATAGACTACTCACTTTTGTTATTTTTTTAATTTCACGCGGATGGAGTGGCTGGCGAAAGCTAGTAATAAATATTAATCCTTTCCAAATATTTTGATATGGATTGCTTAAAAATGATATAGATATCGTAGTGTTTTACGATCAGAATATAGCCAAAATTAAATGCCACATCAAAAACATAATTGACGTGCTTTTTTTTTTAACTCGCCACATTTAATGTTTAGACCGTTAAAAATCTGGTTAAATTTACCCCTAAATATAATAGACTTGTTTGCCAATCGTCAATGACAATTCTTGCTTACCGTTGACCCAGGGTAGGAAAGAATTGTTATTGATGGCGCTTCTACAGGAAGTCGCCAACACGGGCGTTGTGGCC